CATTTTTGTTTGTTTAAATGTGTTCGCATCTTCCAGCTAACCCACGATGTAGGCCCTGGAGTTGAAAGGTAGATGTCAGTTAACATCCTATTTCGCACTTATTTAATTTTTTTAGTGAAAAATTATTCTTTATTTTGTTCACAAAAAATCCACTGAATTCAATATGATAATACAAATTGAAAAAAAAAATTGACAAAGAAAAAGAATAACTAATTGAAAAAGTCTTCAACTTTTTCGCTGATTTTTTACAGCAAATGTTTTAAGATCCTTCCTTACAAAGTTTGTCAATAGAATGTACTATTACTTTAAAATTCGATTCCATTGAAAATGTTTTTTTTTTTTGATTTTTGCAATGAGATCTCTTTTTCATGATTTTTCAGCGATTTAGAAAAAGTAATTATCTTTTAACTTTGGTGTGACCGCGTTAAATTATTTCGATATCATCTATTCCGTTTCGCCACCACATAATTCGCTACTACACTTCCATGTAACCCGCCATCAATTTCAGTTCTCAAGAAATCAAGTCAATTAAATAAATTGGTATAAATATTCGAATTCAAAAATAAAATATAAAAAAACACTACAAATGTACATTAGAAAAAAGTAAGTCAAAATGGAAAAAAATCATGCAAAATAAAACATTACTATTGTACATTTGAAAAGTCAAAATCAAAATGTTAATATATCACATTTTTACGCGATTTTTTTGGATATTATCCTTTTCGGAGAGTAGACAACTCCGAATTTTTGTGAATCGTTAAAATTAATCCAGCGGTTCTTAAGTTATAAGCGTAGTAACTAACACAACTTACATTTATATATATAGATTTTCACTTGTAACTGCAGTAGAAATAAACTCTATGAGTCCCCTTTCTTTAGCATTTTGTTCAAAGAATGCTGTTAAGAAAGGTAAAGCTGCGTATGTCTGCAACTGCGGGTCCTACTCATGTTTCAAAATGTCACTTTAACCTTTTAAAATACGGCAAATTTGAAGGTACCTTTATATGGGAGTTATACCAAAGAGTACATATTGAATTCAGAATGACCATCTTATGTCAAAATCTGATGAAAACAAATTTCAAAATAAAAAAAAAAATAAAAAATTATCGCGGTTTAATGGAAATTTTGACTTTTATTTAACACAAATGTTATTGTCTATTTCACCTACTAAATATTACCCGATGACCATCAAAATTGAAAGACTTCTGCCCAGCCCTTAGCTCTAGCCCCATGCTAACTGATTGATCTATAATTACGACCTGTAGAGCAACTGCAAAATCAGGAAATTTTTCAGTTTTTGGTCAATTTCTACCCCTAAATATTATGCGATAATAAATGGTCCGATCTCTACCATCTTTATAACAGATCTCGTGTTGATGGAAATAATCTGATGTACAAAATATGAATGGAATCGGATGTTAATTTTGCGTTTTATGAACAATGTGGATTTTCAAAATGTTGACTTGATGGAGTGACCCGATATTGTCCATTTTTTCACCTGACCAAGCACTGATGCAAATACTAGGATTTGCCAAGTTGGAGCAAAATCGGATTGTCCTTTCTCTTTCTGTGCAGTAAAATATTTTTTTTTGAAAATGTTGAACTTTTGTAGAGGTACCAGAAGGAGTGGACAGATATTGCCCATCTACGAATTCGATCTGAGTTTGATACTAATATTACGATGTACAAAGTTTGGACCAAATCGGATATTCCCCTCGAAAGTTATCGTGTCAACAGACAGACGGACGGACATCGCTAGATCGACTTTAAATGCCCTGAAACGAATTTGGTCCAAAGAGACCTATGTTCAAAAACCGTAATTTCGATTAGGCACGTTTTGGCCGGATCAAATGATCATTATATCCTCTCTAGTCATATGGCTGAGGGTATAAGTAGGCATGTGGCTGAGAGTATAATGAGGAAAAATATCAAATAAATGAAAACAACTAGTTGCATAAAACTCTGAATAACTTTGACATTAATCGGACATAGCCCCAGGCCTGTAATTCAGTAGTTTTACGAAGCTGTTCTACCTCCTTATTATACCATGGTTGGTATATGCAATTAAAACATCGAGGTTGCTTTAGAAATGTTTACGGAAAGTACTAAATAGAACTAAATTTGGTATTGCGTGAAGAAAAAGAGGTGAAATCCTAAAATTTGATATCGATTTCACTGTTGGTGCTTGTGGTTCGGATATAGAGATGCTTTTGGGTAAATGTGTGATATGAACGTACGAAAACGCCACATGCCAAGGTGCCGATAGGTATTGGGGTAGTGACTTTTAGACAGTTGATTTCTAGGGCTTACATATGACGACGTTGAAATAGTTATGGACATAAAAATGGATGTGGGTCCATATTGCAATGGTTTTACTTATATCCTCCTCGGTAAACTTCAAAATTAAAGATTTGGAAGACTTTTTGATGTACAAGGTAAATTGTTTCCTATTATTCTCTCTTAAAAAATATAAAGACTTGAAAGTCTGAAAATTTAGTAGGTGGAATCAATTGTATATTTTGAGTACTAAAAGGGCCTAACGCAAACTTTTATAACGAATCTAAAATTTTAAGGTGAACTTTTCGCTGATGAAGTAGCGGGCCTTGTTAGTATTATAAAATCTGGTTGAATGGTGAATTTACCAATAATGGGTTTCGAATAACTTGCGAGTTTTTCTAAATCGCTATGTAAAAAAATAATGTTGGTAAAATCATAGACATATAGATGTATAGAAGAAGAAAATATGTAAAACATTGCGGTTTAATGGCCTTAATAAAAAGTCAGGATTATTTGAAGACGATTTTTGGGAGAACTGTCAAGAATTTGTTGCGTTTTCCATTTAAGGATATAGTTTCCGGTGAAAACTATATATATATATATATATATATATATATACACTGGTGGCCAAAACTAAAGCAACTGAAATTACAAGGAGAATGAATGCCCTGTAACTTTTTTAAAAATTAAGAAAATGAAAAAGTTTTTCTTATTTTAAATTAGGTACTTTATTCACTTTTTAAAAACCTAAAACAAAAAACCAAAATTCATGTTTATATAAAAAATAATGTATGGTAAAGTCAATTAACCCGATTTTGGCTTAGACAAAACAAAAGCAACTCTGTCGTACATTCATATGACCGCTGAAATTTCATTTGTTTTTACTGTTACATTTATCGCTTTTTGATTCCTTCGACAATGCCGCTTGTCATAAATCCTTTTTGAGAAGTTTTTTACAACAGTATGTGTTTTTCTTTTCGTTTTTTAAGTACTGCCCAAAAAAGTTTAAAAATGACTAGAAGCAAATACAGTACATGAAAAAAACAGCAAATTATCACTGACTATGAAAACAACATATCACAGAAAATGATTTCCGAGAAATATTTCATAAATATTTCTGTGATTTCATAAATATTTCTGTATACTAAGTCGGTTTTATCAATCTGGATCAGTAGTAACAGTCTATAACGGAAGAAGACCGTGAAAAACTTCAGCCCGTACTGATCAACAAATTGTGAGAGAAATAAAGAAAGAACCATTTAAGATTGGTGAGAGAGCAATCATTGGATATAAGCTCGAGATCAGTGCGTAGACCAGTAGTGGCAGCTGGTCTGCATGCCCGTAAGACATCAAAAAAACCATTTATATCTGAAAAAATCAAAAAGGCTTTTGGAGGAACGATAATATTAAATGGAATCAAGCTCAATGGAAAAACATTATTTCTGGGATGAGTCTACGTTTAATATTAAAGGCTCAGACGTGAAAAATTTTACGGTGAGAAGACCAAAAAATGAAGGAGTCATGCCGCAGTGTTGCAAAGGTACAGTGAAGCATGAGGGAGGGTCAGAAATGGCGTGGCGCTGTTTTCCTTTCTATGAACATGGGTCTATTCATGAAATAAAGGAAGTTATGGATCGGTTTGTTTACAAAGATGTGTGGGACATCACGTTGTTCCCTTACGCTGAGTAAAATATTCGGCTCATTTGGGTGTTTCAGCATGACAATGATCCCAAACTTGCATCAAAACTTGTCAAATATTGGTTGTGGGAGTCAAAAATCGATGTTTTGTCATGGTCGGCACAAGTACCTGACCTAAACTCCATAGAAAACCTTTGGAGTATCGTTGACAGGAAGATCAAGCGAGATTCGGAAACAAATAAGCACAACATTTTCCAAAAAATTCGGGGTGCCTAGGAAAGCATACCCAAGGATCAAATTGAACGTGTTATAGATTCAATGCCTCGTAGGTGTGCAGCTGCTATCAAAAATAATGGATGCTATCGACTACTAGCCAAAATTTAATTATTTTAAAATAAAAAATGAAAAAGTTGTTTTAGTTTTGACCAAGCAAAAATTAGGACATTTTAGTTTTCCATATATTATTTTTCGTTAAAAATTATTTTTGTATTTTTATTTTTAGTTTCTTAAAAGTGAAATAAAGACCTCATTTAAAACTGGAAAAATAATAACGTTCTGTTTATTTTTGTAAAAGTTACAGGACATTTATTGTCTTTGCGATTTTAGTTGCTTTAGTTTTGACCACCAGTATATATATATATATATATATATATATATATATATATATATATATATATATATATATATATATACAGCGCGGTCGGTCAATTCAAACATACTAACTGCGAACTTATCGTAAAATCTTTATGTGAATGTCTATAATGTTCATTGTCAAAATTGATTGATTCTATTTTTTTGTATAAATAAAAAATAATAAAAAATCAGCATCCACAACCCAATGTCAAACAAATATTGAAAATGAAAAAACAAAATGATCAATAAATTAATAAAATGTCAAAAACTGTCAAAATGTAAGACTCAAACGAAACACTGTACAAGTCATCTAGTCCAATATTCGTTATCATCACGTTGGAGATGGTAATGACTTCCTTGTCGTTTCAACGACTACGGATATTTACGACAAGTATCAAATATGCACCCCTCGTATGTCGTCGTTGTCTCTAATTTAGCATCCATATACTTACGTACGAATTCTGCGGGGTTGTAGTGGGGCTTTATTACCACTCCGATATCTTGGAAATATTCGCAAATGTTATTCACCCCGCCAAAGTACGCTGTACAACCATTGTAGAGCAGCAGTAGCTTATCAAACATGCGGAACATCTCCGATGAAGGTTGATGTACGGTTATCACAACTGTTTTTTGTTCTTGAATGGCGTAACGTTTCAATATTTTCATAAGGGAGATTGCGGCGTGACTATCTAGACCAGATGTGGGTTCCTATTAAAAGAAAATGAAAACAATAACATCAGCAATGAAAAATGATATCATCATCATAACATCGCCATCAGATGGTAGGTATAACACTTACATCCAGTAGCATTAAAAGAGGATTTGTCAGCAATTCACATGCTATGTTTGCCCTTCTCTTCTCACCGCCCGACAAACCTCGATTCATGTAATCGCCGAATTTCGTGTGTTGACAGGAGGTCAGTTCTAGTGATTCTATGATGCTGTCCACCACTGCAATCTTTTCAATTTTCGGCATCTTCTCTGGCAAACGCAGTAGGGCTGCATAGGTGACAGTTTCTCTTAGTGTAAGGCTGGGGAAGAAAATCTCATCCTGCAGGACATAACATATTTTGCGTCGCCATTTCTTTGACAATGGTTCACCATTGACACATATGCGGCCGACGGTGCCCATTTTCCTCTGACAGCTAAGCGAATCTAGCAATGTGGTTTTTCCACTACCAGATGGACCCATAACCGCTAGAATTTCGCCAGGACTAAGGGATAGTATGAATGAACTTAAATCCTGAATACGTAAAAAACATATCATTCAAACATACCATGCCGCCCCACTGACATTGTCCAATATCTTACGATCATTGTGCAGCACTGTGATATTCTGGAACGACAGATATAACGTCCGATGTGGTTCACTGTGGAATGGCATGTTCAATGTCATCTGGTCTCTTCTGAAAAATGAAAACTCACAGTCGATTAATTTGAAACGAACTCTTACTCTCAAAAAAACATTGCTGTTAGTTTCCTTAACAACAAGTTGCAGTATAGGCCTGCAGGGACGCTTGGTAATATAAATAGCTGAACAGATCGCTGCTGTGTATATGTAGAAGTGTATGCTATACAACTGATTAATTAGGAAATAGTTACAGGGTAACTGAAAAACAAACATTTATCAGGACTGACCAACACATAATATCTTACCTTTCAAAATAAGCAGAAGATCAAGGTGCGAACTAATCTACAACAATAATACTAGTAAGCAGGCGAATATGGTATAATGTAAATTTAGATAAGTCATATATTGTTTTCGTTAGATTTGTTTGATGTTTTCGTTAGATTATCCAAAAGTTCTTGACTTCTGTTAATTACAGATTAATCAGAAGCAGCAGAGGTTTTTGTAGCTAACAAAGATTTGTTTTTTTTTTGCCCTCAGCCATATGGCTAGTGGGGGTATATATCATTTGATACGGTCAAAGCGTATTTCATCGAAATAACGGTTTTAGACCTTAGGTCTCTTTGGACCAAATCCTTTTCAGGACATTTGGAGTCGATTTGGCAATATCCGTCCGTGCGCACGATAACTCTCGAAAGGAGTATCTAATTAGATAGAGTTCGGAGATGGGCAATATCGGTCCACTTCGCCCCTACTAGAGGTCGAAAAATATTTTATTGCACATAAATCCGATGATATCCAGTTTTGCGCCAACTTGTCAAATTATAATATTTCCATCAGTGCTACGTAAGGCGCGAAAATGACAATATCGGTCCACTCCATCAAGTACCTCCCCCACAAAAGGGTCAATATTTTGAATACACAAGAAGCTCATAAAACCCAAAATTAACACCCGATTCCATTCAAACTTGGTACATTCTAATATTTTAAGTTTTCGCAAAATCGAATTATCATTTCCTATGAAATAAATAATTTTCTTTAAAAATGTTGAATGGGGAAAGTAACAGAAGAAGTGGATACATCTCCGGACTCGATCTAAATTTGACAATAATATTACGATGTACCATGTTTGGATCAAATCGGATACTCCCTTCGAGAATTATCGTGCTTATCAGCCAGACAGACAGACGGACGGAACCCCTAGATCGACTGCAAATGTCCTGAAACGTGTTTGGTCCTAGGGTCTAAAGCCGTTTTTTCTATGAAGCATGATTCGGCCGTATAAAATGATATATACGCTCTGTAGCCATATGGCTAAGGATGTAATAAAACCCACAAATGATTCACATATGGGAGAAAAGATCGGATGTTTCACAACTTCAACTTCATACATATTAAATTTGTAATTCTGTTTGTAACATCCCTAAATATTGGTTGTAGACCCATAAAGTATATATATATATATATATATATATATATATATATATATATATATATAAATATATATATATATATATATATATATATATATATATATATATATATATATATATATATATTCATTATCAGCATAAAATTCTATGTCGATTTAACGATGTCTGTCTGTCTGTCTGTTGAAATCACGATATAGCTCACATTATTTGACATTGAGCTTCAAAATTTAGCACATTAATTTTCTTGTGTCTAGACTGGTTGGTAATGAAAAGGAGATATATCATTCCTCTTTTCGATATAGCCGCCATATAAGGGTACCTTCCGAGATTTGGTATTTTGATGGTTTAAGTCGAAGTTTTTCACGAAAAAATTGGTATTTGTAGTTCACAATGGGCCTAAGCTCCTGTGGCAGAACATTAAATATCTAGGTCCAAGTTTTCCTATTGCGCATATATGGTACCCACTGATATTCGGTATTTTGATAATCCTATTAACTTTTACCCACGAAATTCGGTATTTAGGACTCGCAATAGATAACAATACTTGTAGTATAAAATTGTCTACATAGGTTCCTGTTTTGGTATGGCCCCCATAGAACGGCCTCACCTCACTTTATGGCTTTTTGGAAAAGTTTAACAGCATTATTCAAACGGTCATGCTAGAATTTGTAGTTTAAAGTGGAACTCCCTTGAATCCATATACTTTTATATAAAAACTAGCTGGCCCGGTCCGCGTTGCCGGCCCGTAGTTTTTGTCTATTATGCATATTTGTCAAAGCATAATTATTCACAGATATGACTGATATAAGTGTTCCCGTACTGGTCGATTAAAAGTGTTTTAAAATACCTGTATCCATATTTAAGCCGTGGTCTTCAATTTTTAAACCGTGGGCTTCAAATGTGTGGATATGCTATACAAATCCATTTAAAAGTATATATCAATCTTATCCCCATGTAAGGGATCAAATTAATTTTTAGTATGGTAAATATCGTAGCAAAATTTTCCAGTCAAATGAGCAGTAATTTGAAAAAATTGCCAAATTATATTGAAATCAGTTGAGGTTTGGATATAGCTAACATATATATTTCGGCCGATTTCATATATGTTATGTACCAAACATGATATATATGACCGATACCAATGAAATTCAGAATGTGTGGCGGAATTTGGTTACAATAATAAATGTGACAAATTAATTGGAAATTAGTTAAGATTTGGATATAGCTCCCATATATATATTATCGGCCGATTTCACATATCTGACGCACCAATTTCAATGAAATATGAAAGGTGTGGCGGAGTTTGGTGTAGAAGTATTTTTTTTTTTAAATTATATTTAAATCGGATCAGATTGGGATTTGATTTTAATAAGAACCATTGACCCACAGCGCCTTAGGCTAACACTAAAAAACAACACAACAATTGATTTGAAATACGCTTATTACGGCGAAGTATGTTGCTATCTCGAATTCACTAATTGCAATAGAAATGCCACTCAACTTCAAAATATTGCAGTTTACTGCACGCTTGGTATTTGCTATGAAATAAATAAATCCGAAAGACAAACCCTTCGTGTATGTATGTCATGTCACTGCTTTTCTAATGGTTTTGGTTATTTACGCATTAAAGTAGTGCAAAATTATTTTTTAATTTTTAACTTTTTTTTTAACCAACATATATTCGTAAATAAAATTTTGAATGCATATAAAATCAAAAGGGGTAGCGAAGCGCACCGGGTTCAGCTATAAAATATAAAAAACACTACAAATGTACATTAGAAAAAAAGTAAGTCAAAATGGAAAAAATCATGCAAAATAAAACATTACTATTGTACATTTCAAAAGTCAAAATGAAAATTTTGATATATCACATTTGTACGCGATTTTTTTGGGTATTATCCTTTTCGGATAGGAGACAATTTCGAATTTGTATGAATCATTTAAATCAGTTCAGCGGTTCTTAAGTTATAAGCGTAGTAACTAACACAACTTTCTTTTAAAAAGAATAACAAATTGAAAAAGTCTTCAACTTTTTCGCTGATTTTTTACAGCAAATGTTTTAAGATCCTTCCTTACAAAGTTTGTCAATAGAATGTACTATTACTTTAAAATTCGATTCCATTGAAAATGTTTTTTTTGATTTTTGCAATGAGATCTCTTTTTCATGATTTTTCAGCGATTTAGAAAAAGTAATTATCTTTTAACTTTGGTGTGACCGCGTTAAATTATTTCGATATCATCTATTCCGTTTCGCCACCACATAATTCGCTACTACACTTCCATGTAACCCGCCATCAATTTCAGTTCTCAAGAAATCAAGTCAATTAAATAAATTGGTATAAATATTCGAATTCAAAAATAAAATATAAAAAAACACTACAAATGTACATTAGAAAAAAGTAAGTCAAAATGGAAAAAAAATCATGCAAAATAAAACATTACTATTGTACATTTGAAAAGTCAAAATGAAAATGTTAATATATCACATTTTTACGCGATTTTTTTGGATATTATCCTTTTCGGAGAGTAGACAACTCCGAATTTGTGTGAATCGTTAAAATTAATCCAGCGGTTCTTAAGTTATAAGCGTAGTAACTAACACAACTTACATTTATATATATAGATGCTTTCTTTACCCAATGGCCCAGCCGAACTTAATGTTTCTACCCTACAACACTATGTGTTGGGGGTATTATAAAATTATGTAACATCTCGAAATATTGGTTTCCCAAATAGGAAAGTATATATGGATCTACAAATCTCGCCGAGCTGAGTCGATCTAGCTATGTCCGTCCGTCCGCCCGTCTATCCATGTTAATTTGTAATCACGCTAAAGGTCGCAATTATGGGCCGATCCTCGCGAAATGGAGGTGGGTTTATGGTCAGAATAGAAGCCTATAGAGGGGGCTTATTTTCGTACAACATACCGCTTAAGCCATGCCCTGTGGTACTTTTTGGTAATCGTCCAGTTCGGAGTAGTGATTTTACGGCATTTTTTGATTCTGTCACAAAATTGGCATATATCGAGTAATCGATCACATCAGTATTTGACTACGTGAGCATAGTGTCATGGTCCATTTCCATCTTGATGCCTTCGTCAACAGAAAGAATTGTCGCATTTAGGATGAGAAAAATCCTGGAGTGATTCATGAGAACAAATACATCCTCGACGTGTTATTGTGTGGTGTGGTTTTTGGGCTAGAGAAATTATTAGACCTTTTATTTGTGAATGTGAGGCAGGTCAAGCGCAAACAGTCAATGATGTTGCGTACTGTGAAGTTTTTTCTTGCCTAGAAATGAAGAAATGAATGTAGAGGGCATGTGGTTTCATCGAGACGGCGCACATGTCGTACAAACAGAGAAACTATTCAATTGCCACATCAGTCATTTCCCGGCCATATTTTTCGCGTTTTGAATACCAGAATTGGCCACTTGGATCGTGATCTTAGCCAGCGATATTCTATACATAACCTCATTCTAACTACTATATATTTATTTATATATATAAATAAATATATATAATATATAAATAAATATATATTATTTATATATATATATATATATATATATATATATATATATATATATATATATATATATATATATATATATATATATATATATA